AAATCTGATTTTATCCACTAAACTATGGATGGGTACAGTACAATTATTAAATAATTTTTTATTTTTTTTCCAAATGTTCCATAGGCTGCATTAACATTTGGAAACGATGCAAATAAGTGTGAATTTAAATATATAGTGTAAAACGGTTCATATAAATTGTAAAATTGGGTTAATTTTGCACTGACAAATTTATCTTCTTAACAAACAGACTTTTAACTGTAATGGATGCAAACATAAATTTCAATAAAGCATATATTTTTTTTTTTTATCAAAAACCCACTTGAATGCAAATTTACTTCTTTTTTATTGATATACTTTTACATCTTATTATCAATGTAAATATGCATTAGTCCATTTGTCAATGCATAAATGTAATGCTGCCAAAAACAGGTAAAAGTGAACCAAAATGCAAATTTTCCCTGAACCGGGATTTACACTCCATTTGCATTGTTTTCAAAAGCAACCATTAGACAAGATTTGCCATATCTACAGAAACACCGTACTTTGCTTTGGTCCCGTTTATAACCACTCTATCCCACCAATCTTTCATATCTTCATTTAGAAGAGGACTGGGGATCTTATCACTAAGAACAGTCTAAACTTGTTTGGATTTGATGAATGAATTTTTTGTGATGTATCATTTTTTTGTGCCAAGTAACTCGTCATTTGTTCTGCTTCCAAGTGGTCGATGACTCAGAGGTCGAAGGGAACTTTTGCTGGATGAGGACCTGGATGTCAAGTTAGGGGCAGATTAGGTGCCGAGTTAACTGGGTTGAGCTGGGTAGATTATGTGCCGAACTGACTGGGTCGAGATAGGTAGGTTAGGTGACGGGCTGACCAGAGGGCCTAGCTGCCTATTAGTTGTCGAGTTGAGTAGAGGGTCGAGCTGGATTGATTGTTGATCTTCGTGGTTCTTTAGAGACCTGCAAGGAATCAATGTCAAAGGACCCGGGGTGGCTAACCTGGTGAGGTCGCTCCGATGCTTAACTCAATACTCTCGTAGTAGACTGCGAGCTAAAAATCACAAAGTATGAGAGCTAGAATATGCTTACTTGCCCCCTTATGCCATTGGGGTTGGTGACTTTATATAGGCATATTTTGGCGTGGGCTTCAGGCACCGTATCCGAGATTTCCAAGAAGTCGTCTAAGTGGTCCGAGATTCCTTGAGGTAACTGCCATGCACGTTGACCACCCTCTGGATCGTTCGGCACGTGGGCCAACTTCCAAGGATCGTGGGAGTGTTAGGATATGCATGTTGAATTTGTCGACGAGCACGTCTCGTAGGTCGCCAGGTCGGTGTTTGGGCCAGGTCATGCCAGGGCCAAACCGCCAGGTCGCGCTAGGGCCAGGCCGCCAGTTCCCGCCTGTGTCAGGCCACTAGTTCGCGACTGGGCCAGGTCGGCAGGTGGGACACCATCAACTTGGCTAAGGCAAGTTGTTGCCTAAGTGGTTTCGGGTGTCACCTAATTGTTCTGAGGTGCCATGTGTCACAATATCATTGGAGGGCCAAATCCACCCTTATCATTTGCCCCCCACTCCCGAGCTGAAAGTAACTCGGCGAAGGGAGTAGATTGCTCCTTTTGGCCTGAAATGACTAATTCGATGAGCTCGTAAGCATCAATTCAATTCCTTAGGCTCTGGGAGCGACTCGTAGTCCACTCTCCTTACCCTTGATTTTGCCCATTCTGAAGAGGCAACTAGGTGTTATGTGGTACCGAAGTCTTTTCCAGTTCGGCACTTTAGCCGTTAGGCTCTGGGAGTGACTCGTAGTCCACTCTCCTTGATCTTTGATTTTGCCCATGCCGAAGAGGCGACTGGGTCTTATATGGTGCCGAGGTGTTTTATCAGCTCGACACCTTAGATCTACAGTTGCGCTACATCAGCCTCGTTAGTAATGTCAGTTACCCACTCCTACAAGAAGCTATTAGGAGCTCGACCTATGGGGGCAACACTACTGACTTTAGGTCACCAGCTCGCACGGGAGCCTTGGAAGGCTTGACCGGAAGGGGCGTCAATGCAGTCTGTTGGTCGCCTACTCCCGCGGAAGCCACGAAGAGCTCATCTTTGTAGAGGGTACCTCGCGAAGAGGACTGTTGAGGCTTTATCCGAGTTGAAATAAAGTTGGTAGAGTTGCTTAGTCTGTTGGTCATCAACTTTCTGCATAGTCTTTGAGTTCATAAAAAAATGGAAACTAGAAAGTGAGAGCTTTTAGTTTCTAAAAGGTGAGAACTTAGCTTTCTGGAAGAAGAGGACTTAGCCTTTCAGAGGATGAGAACTTAGCTTTTTGTAGTGTTTTCCATAGATGGTGCCAATTGATGTATCAATTTTTGGTGATGTATCAATTTTTTGTGCTAAGTACCTCGTCATTTGGTCTGCTTCCAAGTGGCCGATGACTAAGAGGCCGAAGTGAACTTTTGTTTGATGAGGAGATGGATGCCGAGCTGGGGGCAGATTAGGTGCCGAGTTAATTAGGCTGAGCTGGGCAGGTTAGGTGCCAAACTGACTGGGCCGAGCTAGGCAGGTTAGGTGCCAAACTAACTGGGCCGAGCTAGGTAGGTTAGATGACGAGCTAACTGGGCCGAGCTAGGCGGGTTAGGTGACGAGCTGACTAGAGTGTTGAGCTAACCAGAGGGCCTAGCTGCCTATTAGTTGCCGAGCTGAGCAGCGGGTCGAGCTGTCTGGTGGCGAGCTGGATTGATTGTTGATCTTCGTAGTTCTTTAGAGACCTGCAAGGAATCAATGTCAAAGGACCCGGGGTGGCTAACCCGGCGAAGTCGCTCTGATGCTTAAGTCAGTACTCTCATAGTAGACTGCGAGCTAAAAATCACAAAGTATGAGAGCTAGAATATGCTTACTTGCCCCCCTATGCCATTGGGGTTGGTGCCTTTATATAGGCATAGTTTGGCATGGGCTTCACACACCGCATCCAAGATTTCCGAGAAATCGTCTAAGTGGTATGAGATAACCGCCATGCACGTTGACCACCCTCCGGATCGTTCGGCACGTGGGTCAACTTTCAAGGATCGTGGGAGTGTTAGGATATGCATGCCGAATTTGTCGACGAACACGTCTTGCAGGTCGCCAAGTCGGCACCTAGGCCAGGCTGCTAGGTCGCGCCAGGGCCAGGCCACCAGGTCGCACCAAGGCCAGGCCGTCAGTTCACGCCTGGGCCAGGCCGCTAGGTCGGCAGGTGGGACACCATCAACTTGGATAAGGCAAATTATTGCATAAGTGATTCCAGGTGTCACCTACTTGTTCCGAGGTGCCATGTGTAAGAATATCGGCCAAATCCGCCCTCATCAGGATTCATTGCGGTTTCTCCACAAAAGAAGCAGTTAGCATCACTCCTCATTCTCCAATTTCTCAATCTCCTTTTGGTCAAAATTCTGTCTCTAAGCATAAGATATAAAAAAATTCAACTAGATCTCTGACAACCTAATACTAATCCTTGTGATTTGTGAGGTTTAGTTTAAGCGGAGGACGCTATCGCCACCAAACCAAGCTACATGGTAAAAAATTCATTGTTTCTTTTTCGCCATACGAAGCCGTGATTGTGGTCTAGCGCTCTGCAGATGATTCAGTTGGCTCGACCAATCAATGGATGTATTTTCTTTCCACATAAAAGACATTAGTTGTTTGATACTGGGTTATATTTAACCAAATGTACAGCATACACTTAAAGTTGCGAAACGAAATGACAAGGAAGACCATGATGCCATTTGAGTTTGAGATTCCAACAACCATACCCAGTAGATGATTTTACCTTTATCAGTAGGAAGCGCATCTCATCTCATCTCATAGAGCATAATTTTAGGTCGTTGGCCTGCCTTCATCGTTTCACTGCAGACTGCCTGAAAATTATCCACTTTGATAGAAAAATAAAAAACGTATGGTAGGGATACAAAAATCGGTCTCATCGCTCTTCTTACGGCAGGTCACCTGCCTCATTGTGATCACACTTCTTTAGAAATTAGAAAAAATAATAATATTTTAATATTTTTCCCTACTTTGGAAAAAGAGACATACTTTCAAGAAGACGTTCAAAAGTATGTCTTTTCTCTGGCCGCCCATCCTTCAATAATGGAACCCAACTTTTTTGTTTCTTTTGCTTGATCTTTCAGGAATGTGATCCGTATTTCATATTGCGTGCTAGGTGCTACCAAAGGAGAAAACCTCGTTTTATCAAGCAGAAAGTTGGCGGAGGTTGCACTTCTCAATTGCGGTTCCAAAGTCTATCGAACACAGTCCACAGAGACACGTTACTACTCTCACGATCAGGGGCCTTGTCCCAAAGTAACTAGCCTGGTGTCTGTTTTTCAAGACAACTCATAAATATCTTTCTCCCGCTGTTGCCGCCAGCAAGGCACAAGACAACCACAAATCGACCTATCCCATTCCCATGCTTTTGATGTATTATTATTAGTGTTGAAATTTGAGATTTTGAGGCTCACCCACATGTTAAAAAGTATTATTTTACATTGCATACGGCGACATTTCTGATTCGTCGTGTGGATGTGGTCAATCCATCTGGTCCCTCCAACCCACCTTACAGATTCATGCACAACAACGAAATCTACAACTTCTATCTTGCCCTGGCCCATCTCAATACTCTGAAGAATACAACCAACTTTTGAAAACCAGCCGGCAAAATAAACCAAAAGACAACACGAGTAGTTAGTTTGATTCCACAAGGGTCCTTCCCTACCGTCAGATTAGAATTTCATGACCCCACCAAGACGATAACCGTGAACCCGAAACGTCACCCGGATCCAAAGCTCATTCGTTGGACTCTCGCGAGAACTCTACCCACCTTTACCCACAACATACTACCCCCGTCCCCGTGAATTGGCCGCGATAAACGTGGGCAAGAGATCCGGACTGATGTTTAATTGTTGGTACTTGGTATGAAAGGAAATGGGCAAAGAGCAACTGGGTAAGTAAGCGCTTGATTAATGCAGTCCAAGGGATAGTATCAGTTCTGAAACAAAAATCTCAGGCGCTTGAACTCGGACAAATTCTCGAGGCCGAAAAGCTATCATCGTCGCCATCCAATACATAGCCGTCTAGCAAGTAGCCGAGTGGCAGCTGGCAGGCAACCCCTGTACACCTCCCCCACTCAACTTTTTTAAATTAAACTTGATGATTCAAGGAATAAACAAAAATTTTTGGATTAAAAAATCATTCCCATCTCTTCTCCTCTCGATTGACGGGGAAACTACAGAGAAACAAATCATATATATATATAAAAAAGGAGTCCTTACAGTCTTTCAGCTGCACAAATTTTACACTGAGAACGAAGCTTCTATAACAATGCCGGCGGGCTGTTAGGCTTCCTCTCAGAAGCTTCTTCCCACGTCCTCCCAGGCGAACTCCCACCACCTCCGAACGATGCGGCAGCAGCTGTCACATCCAGCCCACCTCCAATCGACGTAATCAGAGCCGAGAGCCCACCCGTTGGAGCACCACCACTGCCCATCCCCAGCCCAAGAAGATCCAGTGTAGTCGGCCTCGGCCCGAACAAAGATGATTGGCCCATCATCAATTCTGTCAGTCCAGTGGCAGTACCCCCTTCGCAAGGAAGCCCAAGCCCAAGCCCAGCTGCCAACGGTGCGGGCTCTGCCTCCATACGCCGACTCCATTGCAAGCTCTCTTGCTGTTCCGAAGGCGACGAGGACGTCATAGTCAGACCCAACCCTCGCAGTAGTGATGCATTCGTGCCAGCAGCACCCATCTGCGCTGCTTTCTGAAGCAGCGCGGTGGCAGACATTGCCGGCTGCGGAAGGGGAGCAAATTGCCGACGCTCTGCCCCAACTGGAGCAAAGAGCGAGGTGGATGAGAGACAAAGCGATGTTGGTTCCGCGGCAGAACCAGCAGAGAGAGTTGTCGGACGCTCCGAGCGTGCCATGGCACAAATCAAATCTGAGAAGGAAGAAGTCTGTGGCTGCAAGCTTCCTGCAGCAGCCGAGGAAGCGAATAGGCTTGCAAATACATTGCTGCTGTTGTTGCTGCTGCCGCAGCCATTGCTGCTAGAGTTGCTGCTGCTGCTTCCGTCTAAGCAGGTGGCTGATGGGGCATGATTTAAAATAATGCTGGGATTTTCCTGCACCTCCGGCAACTCTGAAACACGAAACGAAAAAGAAAAGAAAAGAAACTGAGTTGCCGCTTATCCTAGAGGAAGGAAGAAAGGGAGATAGAAGAAAGCAAGCTTTTCTTTCACTTCTTTTCCTTTATTTTTTAAGAAAAAGGGTCGAACGAAAAGGAGAGCCAATCATAGCCTCCTTTCTTTCAATCCCCATCCCTTCTGTGTTCCGATCTTTGGAATTTCTTTATCGATTGCAAAGATTGAATCACCCGTCCGGAACTCGAAATCCTCCGGAAAGTTTTATCAGAACTTTACCTGTTTACCAGAAAGCCCCTCCTCTCCCTTCTCTCTCTATATCTATTCAACCGGTAATGTGTTCGTTCTGATGATCTAATCTTCTTCTTTTTTTCGGGTTAATTGTTCCAATCTAATCTCCAGATCTCCGGAAGAAAACAAAACCAATACAAGACAAAATATGCAAAAATCCAAAAACCAGACTCAAGAGGCAAGAGAGGGGATTTTTTTATCTTTTTTATATTTTTAAACAAACAAAACCAGATCCGACAAAAAACAAACGAGAAAATGTTATAAAACTTCCTTCTATTGACCCTTTCACCTGGATTTTGAATTGGCAAACCCGCAGAAATCACAGGAGCAGACGATGCAGGAGGAGGAGACGACGTAGCAGCAGTAGCAACCATCTGAAGCTTCGGATCTTCTTCAGAATTCGAATTAGCAACCGTCTGAGCTCTGGCGCTCTCCTCCGCCAACGCATCGCAGAAAGCCCTATGAGTGATGAAGCTATCCCTCCTTCAGGAACGAAGAAACAAACAAACACCAGCACCAAAGTAACAAACATCAGCACCATAGCCAAAGCCCTAACTTCGAAACAATAACACGAGAGAAGAAATGATCAACTTAAGAGAAGATAAAATTAAATAAACCTAGAGAAGAGGGTTCCGCAATCGCATCTGTACTCTCTGGTTCCGCATGTCTTCGAATGAGCCTTCCAATCCGACTGGACGGCGTATTTCTTCGAACACTTATCGCATTTCCATTTCTTCTCGCCATGCTTCCTGCAGAAATGCTTCTTTATTCCAGTAAGATCGCCCAAAGCTCTTGATGGATCGTGATGAACACACGAGGGCTCAGGGCAGACATAGACTCGCTTACGAACTTCTTTGCTCGACCGCTGCCGGAGCTTCCAAGGAAGATTGTGACCACGGCGGTGAAGTTGCAGGTTCTGATCGCGTTGGAATCCCTTGTTGCAGATCTCGCACACGAATCTGTTCGTCGCCATTAGGGTTTTAGGAGATAACGCGATAACCTCCGCGTCTGGATCTGCAACCCAAGATTTAAAACAAAATTAAATAAAATGGAGAAATAAGACAAAAGATATATATTTTTTGTGCTTATCTTTAACTTTACCTGGCATTCCAGGGAGATTGCGCTTTTTCTTTGTCGTCGTCGACGGTGGAGCTGTTTGGTTACCAGAAGACGACGCACTAGCTTCTCCTGAAGCTGTAGAAACAGTGACCGCGGACGTATTCTCCAACTCGGCAGGCATATTTCCCAAAATTCTATGATTCTATGGGTAACCAAGCTATGGCGGAATCCGAAATTCCGAGATTTTATTTTATTTTTTCAAGTGGAAGAATCCAAAGGAGGCTTCAATATATAGCCTGCTGCCTGCCCACTGCCCACCTAGGGTTTCTTCACAGCTCTTACCTACCAGTCACAAGCTCTGCTTTATCCAACTAACAGTTCCGACGTATCTCCGGCAACTAATCAGAAATAAACAATAGTTCCTAAGACCATTCATATCGCACTTGAACTGAAAACAACGCCGGAAAGACAAAGCAGCAGCTAAATCAAACTTAAACCCCAAACAACCAACACCCGGAACTAAAGAACCACTTATCTCCGGCAGCAATACCCTCTGATCCAGCGAAGCTGTCGGAATCCTGACTCAGCTGTAGAAAGCATCGCCTGAAAAGAAGAAATAGCCAAACAAAAAAATAAAATAGCTGTCAAAGATTCTCAAGCTTCCGACATTTCACACGGCCGAAATCTAGGCATCCTACTACACCATCAAACAAACCGAAACGTTTCGACTAATAATCCGATATTTCAGCGATTCCGCGTCTACGTAACGATGAAAATTGGGCTGGGTCGGTGAGCCACTGCCGGACTGAGAAAAAAGCCGGTCTCATTAGTCGGCTTTAAAAAAGGATTTCGGATAGAAAGAGAGCTCTCTCTCCTCTCTCTCTCTCTCTCTCTCTCTCTCTCTCTCTCTTCTTTTGAAAGAGACCAAAAAAATAAAGCGGCGGCAGTTAACTGTGGTTAAGATTGAACCGTGGGTGTTAACCACGGTTAAATGAAACCCTACGCCCAAGTTTTCTTCCCCCAAGTGAGTGGGATTTATCCTTACCCCCCACGTGTCGCGCGAAGCAAGGGTTTGGACTTTCCGGCATCTTACGGAAGAGCTGGGACGACTACGTGGGGCCCTCCCCTACTGTTTGTCGTGTAGTGGTGGAATTAACAATCAAGAATTTCCTTGACTTCTGCCAAAAAAAAGTGAATTTATGTTCCTTATCTACTTCTTTACCGTCACATGCAAATTATTAAGCCAATGACCTGACTCAAATGACGATAATGCCACTGAACTGAAATTAAGGCAATTTCTTCCTCTTGACGGAAACATGTTGTAAAATTACGAAAATACTCTCCAAACATGGAAGCCGAATTTAGAACTTGGAACTTGGAAGGAAGCTGGTTTTCCATTTTCAAGCACGTTTTAGACATTCTAGTTTCTAAACGGACTGTGTCCGTCGGGTTGGGTAGTTGGGTTGGACCGAATTCAAGTACCGCCTAGACAGAAGTGGAAACTGGAAGGAGTTGTCTTCTTATTTCTAAAATAAATAATAAATCCAAAACAGAGAGAGAGGAAAAGGTAAAGGCGCTTTTGTCTTTTTACAGAACCTTACTGCACACCGATAAATGGACATCTACACAAAGGCGTTCATCTTTTTCAAAAGTTACAGTTACAGAAGCCAGACGTAAGGGAAAGGGTAATTCTGACCTTACTGTACACCAATAATGTTTTCTTTTCTCTCTCTCACCTGTTTGGGCACGGGATCTAATCTCAGCATTATTTTAATTTCTAAAGCATGGAAGCTGACGTGGCAACCCACGACATCACTCGCTTTTTTACGTGGCAACTTTCATTTCAGTCCAGAGAGTTAATCAGTACTGAGAAATTGACGACATCAAGCGATAATCATATGGGAGAGCGCTCACAACTCACATGACAAAACAAAAAGCCCTCTGGGAGGCTGGGACTGGGACCGCTGTATTTTATCAATTATCACTCACTGATGTTAGAAAGAAAATTTTAATTTGTCCAGAAATTCAGAGTTAATAATGAATCCATGTTAACAAATACGTTATATGTGGAAGCTAATTCAGATGGCAACTGCTTGTTGCAGAAAAAAGTGAAGCACCAAACACTTTATTATGGCCAGGCCGTGGTCCAATCATGTAGAAAAGATTTCCCAGAGATCAGATTCCTATAAAGGAAATGATCTTGGTAGGCTTGTTTTCTTGACATTACCAAAGCAGAGATCCCTTCTCAGATCTCCATGGCAACCCCCTTGCCTGGTGAAACATTTGATTTGGGGCTCTCAACGTTTCAGGCTTCTATGAGGATTGAGGGCCCGTTTGATTTAGAGAAATAGGGGTTCGAAATTGGGGTTTAGAATCAAAATCGGAATGATCAATTGTTTGGTTGAGTGGAATTGAAATTCTATTCTCATCTTTACTGGAATAATATTTTCCCATTTGATGGCATTCTCTCTCTTTCCTTTGGAATGAAGGCTAGGTTTTAGAATGCTTGGGCAGGGACAAGCATTTATTTATTTTTGAGAAATAAGTGTTTATTCTTAGAATAAATACTTATTTGGGAATCTCAAATTTGAGACTTATTTTTAAGTGTTATTTCCTTTCTGATGATCTTAACCCACCATATCATTTTAAAAATATCTATATTACCCCTATTTAAAATAATGTTTTTTACCAAATGATTATAAATATTTATTCTAATAAACACTTATTTTTCAAATAAGCATTCCTAAACTTTCAAAATCCCATTTCAGTTAATTCCTACTATCATTCATTTATGAACCAAACAAACTTATGAGAATAGACCATTTTGATTTTAATTCTAATGCTAATTTCAATTCAAATAATGAAGCAAACGGACCCTGAGCTCTGACCAGCAACTTGAAGGGTTGATGGTCCTTCAATTCAGGGGAAAAAAATCCCTACAGACAGGGACCGTGTAGGAAATCATTAATCATTCCCGTGTTTCCTACTTCTGTGTTATTGGAATGTGGGCATAAACATTTAATTAAAGTGAAATGGGGCTCAATGTAAATATAAATAAAACTTTTCCTGGGTGGTGATGATAAGTTTGAATAATAATAATAAAGAAAAAGGGGATGATAAATTAAGAAACAGAATACAACCAAAAAGCCGGCATATTTTTCCTACGCACACCATCATTACTTTCATTGACTTGAACCAATTTGTACTTATCTCTCTTTATATAAATCTACTTAACACGCCTTACCACTTAATTATTTTAGTTTTGTTTTCAGTTCTATTATCATGAGGGTACCTACCAGGTGGAACTTCTCTGCTATTGTTATTCTTTTCCCAGGACCAATCTATTAGCTCTCTTTCATCAAACTAATTCACAATTAATTTATTTTGGTCGATGCATGGTTTGCCACAAATCCCCTTTTGCAATATCTTTATTAGATTAGACCAAAAGCATTGATTTAATTAAATAATGTCAAGTTAGTCACACCCAGAAGCAAAGAGGTCAATACACAGAGAAAGAGACCCAAATAAAAAGGACTTAAGCACAAAACATAAAGAGGATTTTTTGTTAATGCAAGGGATCAGGGCTCTGTTAAACCCCTGTTTATCTTTCTGTCTTCTCACATCGAACAGGTTTGCATTGACAAAAGCAACTCATTGATTAATCAAATACATATGATGTGCCTTATCTCCACCTGATTGGTTAGAGAACTTTCTAAACTGAACTACCATACAAGTTGCTTTAGATCACACCACACATCTGGAATATCATGTGGGACCCACCTGTACTGACCGTTGGGAATCTACCCAAAATGGTGTAATGTTCCAGATGTGATTTAAGGTGCTTCTCTAAGAAAGCAAATTTGCATCACCAAATGATGCTCATAACTCATTCAACAAGGAAATATGCCTCTTAAATGAGTTTGCTTGGGGTTTTCTACTTTTCCCCATATATGAATGTTGTGGAAGGACTGAAACATCCACCAAGCTAGAGGAGCTGTGGATCGGTCAATTCTCAATCCTAGCTCCACTTCATGTCAGCTTTACACACCAGACACCACCTCCGCTTAATAATTCTTCCCAGTAGGATTGATTTGCAAATTACCATTTACCACCCAAAAGCTTTTGGGCCCCCAAGACCCCAATCATCTTGCCACTAAAAAGATTACTGATCCTTTGATACACTCTTCACTAAATGGACCAATTAAGAGAACTGCTCCCATTCTAACAAAGTGAAAAGAAAACTGTTTTTATATATACCAAAAATTTGGTTAGGGTGCAAATTTGGAGCCGGATTTGTACTTGCAATTATTTTAATTTATAAAATAAGTTCTCTTTGAATCTTGATGTGAGGTTAGCTAGGACCAGAGCCCATGAAACAAAAGTTACAACCCTTAGGCCCCAATCGTTAATGCACTAGAGGGGTATGACTTCTACTTGCAAATCCGTGCTGGAAAGCGCAAGATGTGTTGGTATAGGCAAGGTAACAGAGATGGGCCCTCCATGGAATCCAATTAGGGGTATGTCTTCCTTTGAGGGGTGCCACAGGATTCGAACATTTCACCTCAGGGATGGAAAGGACTGAGCTACCATGCTGTATCCATTACAAAAACTGTTGAAAGGGAGATTTTAACAGTAACAACACTCTTCCAACATGGGTCCCAGATTGAAAAGGTTCCAATCTGAGGGTTCTAGGCTTGAAAAAACTCCTACCACTCTTCTAAGGAGAAGAGCCCAAGTGTTATTACTTATTACAATCAATGAATTGATTATTCTTTTTCTTTTGCTTTATTCAATAACAAGTCTGCATGGGAGATTCGGATGCATTACAATGTCTACATTGAATCTCGTATTTGTTACATAAACTATTATTTCAAATCTTTAACATATTCTATCAAAGCTTAATTGTCATCTTCCCATTATATACTTGTTACCTTTCTTTCACCTTTTTCTGTTATTTTTCTCACTTGTTATTATGGTGTTGTGGGGTCGAGTACCGGCTTTGTGAATGTATAAGTCAATGAATACTTATTCATTTGAGTGTTTTCTTCTTCAACTTTTCGAGAGAGAGAGAGAGAGAGAGAGGGGTTCCCATCCCTCCAGCCACCTTCATTGAGAAGAAAAGTGACTCCACATCTCATACTTGAAGGTTGACAGAGAAAAAAAGGTAATTCAGAAAGACACTGTTTGGTGAAAGTGAAATATGTTGAACCAAAGAGAAAGTAATTTGTAAAAGACAAAATGGGGAAAGGGAAATCCCATATTTTAATTCCGATAACCAGTCATTTCTAAAGTTCCACCCTGGAATGTGGAATCCCACTTAATGCAAGGTTGGAAAGTTTTAAAAGAGTAGTACACCAATCAATTTCAATTCTGAAATTGATAAAGAGAATCATCATCTTTAAATGAGTTGGGAGTTGGGATTTGGGATCTTCACCCAAATCTCACCAGCCTTACAGCATGCTTCCCTTTAACCACCAGACGTTGTCACTTTCCTGGGTTTCATGCAAAAGGAGAAGTGCACAAGCAGGCATCATTCACTGAGGCTCAGTTTGAAAGCATACAAATAGAGTGGAAATCCATGTATTTCGTATTATTTAGTTTTATTCTTTTTAAACTGAGCCTGAGTCACTGCATCAAATAGGGCTGTCAATGGATCGGATATTGGTCCAATCTGATCTAATCCAAGATGAATTCGTTACAGATGGAACAGGTCTAGTCCAATCTAATGAATACTTTTGACCATTCTCTACCGATCCAATCCAGTCAACTTGATTAAAAAGCTGGTCCATTGACACTTATACTTGTCTTCTTCCAATGGATTGGATATTGGTTCAATCCTACCCAGTTTAATATAAATCCATTAATAATGGGCCAGGTCTAATCCAATCCAA